CAGCGGTACCAGGCAGAGATCAACGACCTGGAGAACCTGGGCGAGATCGGCAGCGGCACCTGCGGGCAGGTGTGGAAGATGCGCTTCCGCAAGACCGGCCACGTCATCGCCGTCAAGGTGGGGCCCGTCCCGGGGACCCCCGTGACACCTGTGACCCACCCGTGACACCTGTGACCCACCCGTGACACCTGTGACCCACCCGTGACCCCCCCGTGACCCCTGTGCCCCCCCAGCAAATGCGGCGCTCGGGGAACCGCGAGGAGAACAAGCGGATCCTGATGGACCTGGACGTGGTGCTCAAGAGCCACGACTGCCCCTACATCGTGCAGTGCTTCGGCACCTTCATCACCAACGTGAGCACCTGGGGCACCCGGGGGCACCTGGGGGGGGCTGGGGCACCTGGGGCACCTGGGGGCACCTGGGGGCACCTGGGGCACCTGGGGCACCTGGGGGCACCTGGGGCTGCGGGTGCCCCGACATCGTGCAGTGCTTTGGCACCTTCATCACCAGCGTGAGCACCTGGGGCACCTGGGGCACCTGGGGGCACCTGGGGTCACCTGGGGGCACCTGGGGGCACCTGGGGGCACCTGGGGGCACCTGGGGGCACCTGGAGTGTTGGGGATGTCAGGATCCATCCATGGGCCCCCCTAGTGCTGCTCCCAGTGCTCCCAGTACGTCCCAGTGCCCTCCCAGTACATCCCAGCGCTTCCACTACATCCCAGTGCCCTCCCAGTGCTCCCAGTCCACCTAGTACCCTCCCAGTACATCCCGGTGCTTCCAGTATATCCAGTGCCCTCCCAGTACATCCCGGTGCTTCCAGTATATCCAGTGCCCTCCCAGTGCCCTCCCAGCGCTCCCAGTACATCCCAGTGCCCTCCCAGTATACCCAGTACACTCTCTGCCCTCCCAGTACACCCCAGTGCCCTCCCAGCACATCCCAGTGCTCCCAGTGCCCTCCCAGTGCATCCCAGTGCTCCCAGTGCCCTCCCAGTGCATCCCAGTGCCCTCCCAGTACATCCCAGTGCTCCCAGTGCCCTCCCAGTGCCCTCCCAGCACACCCCAGCACACCCCAGTGCCCTCCCAGCACA